CCCCCCCCCCCCCCCCCCCCACCCCGCCTCCGACCCAGTCCCTATAACCCTGCATTTCTTATTTCTTCCTATCCTGCACAACATGAGCACTATGGGCAGTTTAGCATGGCCAATCCACCTAACCTGCTCGTCTTTGGACTGTGGGAGGAAACTGGAGCAAATCAATGCATTTACGGGAAAAATGTGCAAACTCCATGGAAGTGGAATCGAATCATGAGAATGCCAACTCACCAGGGTCACTTTTCAGAAATAACCTCACAGCTAGAAATCCAATGACACCTTTCTTTCCCAGAGCTAGAGAAATTTAGTTTCACTACAGGTTAAAAGTGTTGTCTCCCAAATATAAACTTTTTTTTGTGAGCAGCACAGTTTACAGAAGCATTTGCAGCAGTCTTCAGTCATAAGTGCTGAGTGGATGATCCATCTTGGCCACCTCCAATGGTCCCCAGCATCACAGATAACCAGTCTTCACCCAATTTGATTCACTCCATATGATACCAAGAAATGGTTGGAGGCTGCAAAAGCAGTGGGCCCTGACAACATTCTGGCAACAATACTGAAGAATTATGCTTCAGAATTTGCTGCTCCCCTAGCCAAGCTGTTCCAGTATAGTTACAACACTGACATCAAATTTGACAGGTATACCCTGTATGCAAAAAGCAGGACAAATCCAACCCAGCCAATTACTACACCATCAATCTACTCTCGATCATCAGTAAAGTAATGAAATATATTGAAGCAGTCCACGTTGTATTTGAACAAGATCTGAACTATATCCCCTCCTTCCTATATTTATTTCCCAGCTCCCTTACCCCTCCCCAGTTCACAAGCAGGGTCCTGACCTGAAACGTCGACTTTCCTACTCCTCTGATGCTGCCTGACCTGCTGTATTCCTCCAGCTCCACACTCTGTTGACTCAATATCCAGGCTTGTTTTGCCAAGTGGCAAATAACATTTGCGCTACACAAATGTCAGGCAATGACTGTCACCAATAAGGGACAATCTAACCACCGCCCCTTGACATTCAGTGTTGTCACAAAATCAGAAATGGGGATTTTTAATGATGATTGCACAATGTATGACATAACTCACAACTCCTCAGCTACTGAACCACCCCACGTCCAATGCACCTGACCTGGACAACACTGACAAGTGGCAAATAATGTCTGCGAGACACAAGTTCCAGGCAATGACTATCTATAACAAGAGAGAATCAAACCATTGCCTCGTGGCCATCTAAAAAACTCAAGTCAAGAGTGTGTTGGAATATAATTCACTTTCCTGGATGAGTGAAAGAAGCTTGGTACCATCCAAGATAAAGCATCCCACTTGATCAGCATCTCACAACAAACATTCACTCACCAATAAACAGTAAGAATAGTGTGCAGAGATAGTAGGAACTGCAGATGCTGGAGAATCCGAGACAACAAGGTGCAGGGCTGGATGAACACAGCAGGCCAAGCAGCATCATAGGAGCAGAGAGGCTGATGTTTCGGGCCTAGACCCTTCATCAGAATAGTGTGCAGCTCTGCAAGATGCACTGTAGAAGTTCAGCGAAGTTCTGCACACTCCACCTTCCAAATCCACAACCCCAAACATTGAGAAGGACAAGGAAAATAGCTACATGGGAACACCACCACTTGCATGTTCCTCTCCAAGACATCTTGGAAATACATTGCTATTTCTTCAGTGTCACTGCATCAAAATTCTAGAACTTCCTCTTTAACATCATTGTAGGTGCACTTACAGCAAATGGACTGTAGCAGTTCAAGAAGACAGCTCACCACCACCTTCTTGAGGGCAATTAGGGATGGGAAACAAATGTTAGCTCAGCCAGCAAAATCCTCATCTCCTGAATGAATGAAAACAGTGGTTTACTGAGCTGCATAGCCTTTTTCTGTGTGTAATTGGTTTGTGCATTTTACAGTTAACAGTGACTGTCTTTGTTTATTTTGCATAGTTGTTGAGCCGGATTCTCCAGCATATTGGGCAATAGTTCGCTCGTTTGGTGAGGAGATCCTGTTGGAGGACAGAAAAATCAACAGGGAAAAACTGGGCAACATCATCTTCTCTGATGTGGAAAAACGTCAGCTGTTGAATTCCATCACTCACCCAGCAATCCACAAAGCCATGCTCAAACAAATCTTTAAATACTTTATACGAGGTAAGACGTGAGTTGCACTTTGCTTTTCCTTGGTGACTTTTGCAGAATCTAAGGATCCTTGGGAGACTGCTACCAGTGCATCTGCTATCTTTGTAGCTATTTCTTTTAATATCCTAGGATAGATCCCATTGTGTCCAAGGGACTTATCAGTCTTTAGTCCCAGTATTTGCCCTGGCGTTTTTACTCTTGTGATAGTTATTGCATTTATTTCTTCTCTTCCTTTCATCCTTTGATTAATATCTTCTGCTGTGAAGACCCATTTCGGCCTCTCTCTTCCTTTTTATGTATTTAAAGAAACTTTGCTGTCTGTCTTGATATTGCCCTTCCCACTCTTTTCACTCTCTCACTCATGAACAATTCCCGCTCATTAATTTTCTACCCTTCACTCATTCACCCAACCACTAATCCCCTCACTCACTTGAGCACCTCTCCCACACTTGTTTACCCACTGATCTATTCAGTTACCCATCCAGCACTACTCCTCCTCCTTGACACTCATTCAGCGACCTCTCCTAAGGACTCACATCATTTAGCCATTACTTGCTAATGTGCTCCAACTCCACTGCAGTGGCACAATGCAAAGATTTTTGACTTGATATATTCACTGTGTTTATCTTCACAAATGCTGCCTAACCTGCTGCTGATTTCCAACCTTGGTTTCATTTCAAATCTCCCCCATCTGCTTGATTTTGCTTTTGTGTTTTCTAGATTGATTCCTGTGATAAAATTGATTTCTGTGTCGGAATTTTCTGAAAATTGGAAAATGGAAGGGATCTTGTTGAAGCTTAGTGATTCTGAGGGAGTTTTACATAGAGTTGCTGAGAGGATGTTTCCTTTAACTGGAGAGTCTAGAACAACAGGACACAAGCTTTGGATAAGAGGCCAAACATCTGGAATGAGTTGAGGAAATTGTTTACTCTAAATGTTGTAAATCTTCGGTGTTCTCTGTCCCAGAGAGTTGCAGCTGCTCAGTTGTTGAGCATATTCAAGACAGTTTAAAAAGTAGAATCCCTACAGTGTGGAAAGAGGCCATTTGGCCAGTCAAGTCTGTACTGACCCTCTGAAGAGCATTCCACACAGACCCAGCAACCCCCCACCCTATTCCCATGACCCTGCATTTCCCATGGCTAATCCACCTACAGCCTTGGTGACTACAGGCAATTTAGCACTGCCATTCCACCTAATCTGCATAGTTTTGGACTGTGGGAAGAAACCAGAGCACCCGCGGAAACCCATGCAGGTACGAGAAGAATGTGCGAATTCCATACAGACAGTCACCTAAGACTGGAATGGAACTTGGATCCCTGGCATTGTGAGGCAGCAGTGCTAGCCACTGTGCCACCCAAAACTCTGTCCAAGAGCGTCCTCGAGTCATCAACCTTTCAGTTAACAGCGGAACGTGCTGACTAATAGTGCTACAGAGACAGTTGAGGGATTTGGTAGCAGTGAGATCTTTGGGTTGTCAGGGAATCATTGGCAATCTGGATCAGGCAGGAAAAAGAGTCTGCATAAATGTTTCATATTTAGGTTAGCAACGTGCAATAAATGAAGTGCCATCGGGATCAGTGCTGCAATCTCAACTACTTGCAACTGATACCAATGACTTAGATGTAGGAACTAAATATATGGTAGCTAATTTTGCTGATGGCACAAAGGTGGGTAGGAAATTAATTTGTGAAATAAACATGATGAGTCTGCTAGGCATGTAAATACATTGAGAATGGGTGAAAGTTTGGCAGACGAAATATAATGTCAGAAAGTGTGAACTTACATACTTTGTCATGAAGAGTAGAAAAGCATCATGTTATTTAAATTGTACAATTCTGAGGTACTGAGGGATCTGCATGTTTGGTACATTAGTATGCAGATAGAGCAAGTGATTAATAAGGCAAATGTCTATTGCAAGGGGAAAAAGTAGGAATGCTTTGCGACAGTTTCACAGGGTGTTGGTGAAACCACATCTGAAGACTGTTCAGTCTTTGTCTCCTTATTTAAGAAAGGGCATAATTGCAGTAGAAGCTTTTCAGAGGTTCATTCAACTGATTCCTGGAATGAGGGGATTATTTAATAGGAAAATTTGGATGAGTTAAGTCTTTAACCATTGGAGTTTAGAAGAGTGGAAGCTGATCTTATTGAAACACAGGAGATCCTGAGAATATTTTAAAGTGTAGAGGCTGAAAGGATGCTTTCCTTAAGGAGATCTAGGACTAGGGGAAAGAGTTTAAAAGGAAAGTAGGTCTCCTATTTAAGACAGAGATTCGGAGAATTTTTATCAGAGATTTGAGAGTCTGTGGAATTCTCTTTCCTCACAGTGGTGAAGGATAGATCATAGAACATTTTTAAAACAGAGGTGGATAGATACTTTAACAAGACAGGAGTCAAAGAGTATTGGAGATGTGCTTGGATGCAAAGTTGAGGCTACAGTCATGATCTTATTCAGTGGCAAACAGGCTCGATCTAATATGTGAAAGTGACAAAAAGACTGGCACGGTGGCTCAGTGGTTAGCACTGCTGCCTCACAGCGCCAGGGCCCTAGGTTCAGTTCCAGCCTTGGTGATTGTCTGTGTGGAGTTTTTACGTTCTCCCCATGTCTACGTGGGTTTCCTCCAGATACTCCAGTTTCCTCCCACAGTCCAAAGATGTGCAGGTTAGGTCAATTGGCTATGCTAAATTGCCCATAGTGTCTACGGTGGGAAACGCACAGATAGAGTAAGGAGTGGGTCTGGGTGGGATGCTGTTTGGAGGGTTGGTGTGGACTTGATGGGCCGAATGGCCTGTTTCCACACTGTAGGGATTCTATGAAAAAAGGCCACAGCACCACCTGAATCTCCTCAGCAGTCTTCCATTCTGTGTGGATTTTCTGTGTTAAATTGCAATCAGTCAAGAGGCAATGTTGTCTGAGACCACACAGGCTAAAAATGGATTCATTTTGTCTAGCATAGTACAGGAGTGAACGTAGTAGTGTAACCATTTTTTTTTGTCTGCAGGATACCGCTATGTTATCCTCGATGTTCCACTCTTGTTTGAGACTAACAAGTTGCTCAGGTTTATGAAGCATACTGTTGTTGTTTACTGGTAAGTTTTTATGTAAATGCATGGAAACCTACTAGCATAGTCATTGATTATACTTAATAGCCTATGTATACCAAAGAATTGTGAACATTCTGTATTTTGTCTCTGACTTTTCCCCTAGTTGAAGTTGGTCTTGAAAAAGTTGTCCAAGACATTGACTATTTAAAAAAAAGTATGTGGATCATCATTTTGGGTCAGAATGGAGGTACTGTGAGGCATTGTAACCTGAATACTACTCCATGCCCGGGGAGTGTGTGTTAGCTGGCCTTTAATGCATGAAAAATATTGCACAGAAGCCCCTTATAGGATGGGTCATTGAAAATGGGGACGACACAAAACAAGAAGGAATAGGAAGCCTGTCCAAATCTTAATTTTCCCCTTTCTGAACATTATGCTTCAACTGTTGGTTTTTGCTCGGATCACTCCGCACAGACCAGGAACAAGAGTCCGCTTTTCCTGCTTTGTGTAGCTTGGTACCACACCACTCAAATTGCTCGTTGATTGGCTGAGGAAACATATAAAATCAAAAGTTGATGAATAATTTGTAGAATAATACAGTGCAAAAGGTGACCACTCAACCTTTTGTACCTGTCTTTATAATTATATCTCTTTGTAAAGCAGTATTGTCACTTGCTCCTGTTCCTTTCCATAGTCATGCATTTCTTTTCAAGTATTTATCCAATTACTGTTTGAAAGTTATTATTGAATGTACTTTCACTGCCTTTTCAGGCTATGCCTTCCAGATCATAACATCTTGTTAGTTGAAAATTAAAAGAAAATCTAACTCCTTAGCTGTTTTGGTGATGTCTTGTGTCAGTATGGCTATACTTGTGGCATATGGCTGACTGCTGTGTTTATTGTGCTACAGTGATCCTCAGAGCCAGCTGACCCGGCTGATGAAACGAAATCATTTAACGCAGGTGGAGGCAGAGCACCGCATTGGTGCCCAAATGCCATTGGAGCAGAAGCGGAAGCTGGCAAACCATGTGATCGATAACTCTGGGGACAGTGCCAGTACTTATCGGCAGGTTTGCAAACTGCACTCTCAGCTTGAAGACTCACTGGACTTCTTAGCAGTCCGGTTACTAGCTTTGGTCACTCTGACCGGAATCGGAGGCCTTCTCTGCATGTTTATAAAAAGGTGCATTTTTTAATATGAAGATTTGCTCCAGATCAAGCTAAACTCGGGGCAGGTGCTTCATTTTTCTATGAGAAGATCCTTGTAAGATTGGAATGTGAAACACTGGTTGGAAGTGCTGCTTGCTGAACGATCTTCAGTTATACCTCTTTTCCCCTTTTTCCCCATGATAATTGTCATTACCTTTTATCTATTTCCAATATTGCAGAGACCAACACTGAAGAGACCATTGCCTAAATTATGCATAGTCAGAATCCTGCTGCAAATTTTGGGGCTAAAAGAAATCAAGTAATGGATTTTTCAGGGTATAGACCTATTTGCAGCATTGTTGTTCACTGCAGCTTTTACCATTATTTGGATATCAAAGGCAAGTGACTGGATGCTGTTTACTTTGTTTAATCTGAGTGGGCACTGGAGAGATGTTTCTGAAATTGATCTTTTGTAAGTTGCATCCTGTGACCCATTGAGAATGGGCACCGTTGCTGCTTCTTTAACCGTAATAACTGAGATGAATCTGAAGCAAGACGATATTATCGCAGTAAGTGGACACACATGACTTTTGACCCATTGCCAGCTTATTATGAGAGAAGTGTGGCTTGCTCACGACATAAATAATATGGTGGCACAATGTGGGATTTAACCACAACTGCTGTGCTGGCCGTGCTTTCTTTTTGGTTCACTGCTGTCATATACATTTGACAGTCAGGTAAGGTGGGTGTTGTCAGATAGTGATGGTTAATTTTAAGTGCTGGGCTTGATTTTATCCATTGGGTTTCATTCTAATGATATCCACACAAAGTTTAAAATTTTGATATATGAGAAATCGGAGAAATGAATGTGTTCTAAATTCTGTGTCACTACACACTGGATGAGAACTGTGCTGATTCCTAAGTAGTCTGCAAGAATGGCTGAAGCAACAGCAACCACGTACAATATGAACAACTTTGTAATATTATATGGAAGAATTTCTCTCTTTTGATTTTCCATTTAAATAAATGATGTGGAAAGCCCTGACACATGGATTTTTCTGCCAAGTTGACATTATGCAAATATAGTGGGTACCATTGACTTTTTAGGGCAATAACATCTAGCCCTCTGTCCTAGTTGACTCTATCCATTAAAGTTGATACAAATCAGGCAAAGTGAAAAATAGGCTGCCAGCCTGCCATGGTCCAGTTTACCCTGTTGCCAGTTTCACATCTAAACTTTCTTGGAGCATTTCTGTTCATTATTATCAGTTTACTGAGTATCTGTCATGTTGTTTGGACTGAATAATAGACTGGATAAGACCAACAGGTTTCCAATCAAGTAAAGATTTATACATTTGTCTTGATTTTCCAGTAAGATACTTCCCTTGTGTTGCCACCATCTCCAGGGTTTTCCTTCCCCTTGAACCAGTGCCCAGGAAGTGGCTTCCAGATACTGTCATTCTCCACTTACATGCCCAAGTAATCATTCTTAACCTGAGTGAGACCGCCATCAAGCCAGCTGTGGGCAACTTCACATCAGGCTGCCATGTTGCTATTGGATAACATCAGAATGCATATTTCCACCAGGGTTCCAAAATAATGGTTATTCCAACCTTGCCCACCCCAAGCACCTGTGAAACTGGTGTCTATGGTAAGACCATTTACTGCTAGCTGAAATTGGCTATCTCTACTTGCACCAACTCAGATTTTTTAGAGAAGTATAAAATGTTCCTACTCAGAAATAACACAGCTGTATGACTTGTCTTCTCATTCATAAGACAGCCCATTTGCAGGTCAAAGTTAAAAGTTCTAAATTGTCAAAATGTGCACAAGTGGATCCAATGATAATGAATGTCCTTGCCATTTCAGTTCAGGCACCATTCTTGGTTTCAGGACAAATGACAGACAGAAATTAAAATCAAACATTAGGGCTTTGCAGCTTCAGTGTCTGTCGATCTCGTTTAAGCTCCAAAACATCCTAAGTGTATAGAGACATAGACCTGTTTCCCACATGTGCATTCTCTGTAACTACCATCATAGGAAGCTTCTAATTGAGTTTCATTCCCTAAATTTGTCTTTGTAAAATGTCTGACTTGCATAAATAAACCTGCGTTGTCCTGCTTTTGAATTAGTTTGAAAGGAAGGGAATTTGAGGCTGAAAGATTTGTTGAAATTATTTTGTGCTTTGCTGTTGTCGTTTGTTTTAAACTAATCTTTAAGAAACAGCCTCATGCAGTATCTGTCATTGTGGATATCATTTTGAACTATTGTGAGCTGATGACATTTGGCACTTTCTTTCCCTTGAGTGTAACAACAGGGCAAGATCTGCTGTGTAATCAGATCAAAGTGCTGTAGGCAGGCCACATTATCCATGCCACGCTGAAAGATTCAACAAATGTGGACGAGTTTCAATGCTAAGAAGTTCTGTTGGCCCTTTTTCCTAAGTACTAAGCCTCAGTTTTGCTGAATTCTCAGCAGCTAACTTTCATTCAGTGACCTCCTTCTACAGCCTATCTGGGATGGACACTGAATGCTGCAAACACAGACAGTTTCACACACATCATGACAAATCACAGTTCAGACTAAACAATTATCATTTTTCATCTGCTGAAAGAGTCTCAAAGCTTCATACAGTCAGTGAACCGTTTTCATGTATTGCAGTACGGGGAGATATGGCTACTAATTTGTGTACAGCAAGATTCCACAACTACTAAAAAGCAAGTGTTCAAATCTATTTCTGTTTCTGGAGCTGTTAACTGAGAGAGAAAGGTTAACCAGTACAAGTGGCGAGCTCCCTTATCATTCTTTGGATCTTTTACATTAGAATCATAGAATCCCTACAGTGTGGAAGCAGGCCATTTGGCCCATAGTAAAGTTCACACTGACACTCCGAAGAGCATTCACCCCTACCCTATCCCTGTAACCCTACATTTCCCATGGCTAATCCACCTAGTCTACACATCACTAGATACTGTGGGTAATTTAGCATGGCCAATCCACCTAACCTGCATGTCTTTAGACTGTGGGAGGAGACTGGAGCACCTGGAGGACACCCACAGAGACACGGGGAGAATGTACCACCTCATTCACAACAGCAAACAGACAGGACACCATCTCGATTCCCACCTGATGTCTGAATACTGTCATGACCATAGACTGATTGCTCTGTAAATAGTATTTACACTTCAGAGTCACTTTATTCATGCTTTGGGCCCACGCTGAAACAGGGTACTTGTATGTCTGGAGCTTGCAGGGGCAATGGATACAGCAGTTTCTTCTGATCAATATTTATCCATCAATCAATGGCCTCACTAATACAGAGTTTCAGTTCATTATCTCATTAAAGTATGCAGATCCTGCTTATGTAAGGGTTGTCTGCTGTGTTTCTGATGATGTAGAAGTAATTACTGAGAATTTATTTAAGTGGTTGTGAAAGCCACCATGGAAATGTAAGTGCTTTGGTTCTTTTTCTATTTACCTTTGGTTACCATGATACACAACAGTCCTATCAGAGAAAGCTAATAAATTGCACCACGCCTTGGAATCAGTGAAGCTGATGCTTAGCCCAATGCTGTTTCCTGTATTCTTTTTCATAATATTTCAGTTCACACACTTCACTGTCTTAGATATGACTCACCAAGATATTTGTAGCAGAATGTTTACATCAGATTTTTGAAAGAGCTTATCCAATTAGCCCCACTCTTCAGTTCTTTCCTCCATTTCCCTGGAAGTTTATCCATTTCAAGTATAAAGTTCCATTTGTTTCCAAAATTACAGCAGAATCTACTTGTATCACCCTTTTCAAGCAACATATTCATAAGAATATGGTAAGTTGTTGGAGGGGATTCTGAGGTACGGGATTTGCATGTAGTTGGAAAGGCAAAGACTGATTAAGGATGGTCACCATGGCTTGGTGCATGGGAAATCGTATCTCACTAACTCGATTGTGTTTTTTTTTTTGAAGAGGTGACCCAGAAGATTGATGAAGGCAGAGCAGTAGACGTTGACTATATGGACTTCAGCAAAGTGTTCAACGAGGTTCTGCATGGTAGACTGGTTTGTAAGGTTAGATCACACAGGATCTGTAGACAGCCAGCCAACTGGATACAAAATTAGTTTGAAGGTAGGAGACAGAGGGTGGTGGTAGAGGGTTGCTTTTCAGACTGGAGGCCTGTGACCAGCAGTATGCCACAAGGATTGGTGCTGGGTCCATTGCTTTTTGTTATTTTATATAAATGATTTGGTTGTGAATATAGGAGGTTAGTAAGTTTGCAGATGACACCAAAGTAGGTGGTGTAGTGGACAGTGAAGAAGGTTACCTCCGAGTACAACGGGACCTTGATATATGGGCAAATGGACCAAGGAGTGGCAGGTGGAGTTTAGATAAATGTGAGGTGTTGCATTTTGGTAAGGCAAACCAGGGCAGGACTTATACAGTTAATGGTAGAGCCCTGTGGAGAGTTGCCAAACAAAGAGACTAGGGGTTCAGGTGCATAGTTCCTTGAAAGTGGAGTCACAGGTAGACAGGGTGGTGAAGAAAGCGTTTGGCATGCTTGCCTTCATTGGTGAAAGCATTGGGTATAGGTGTTGGGACATTATGTTGCAGCTGTATACGACATTGATGAGGCCACTTTTGGAGTACTGCGTACACTTCTTGTTACCCTTCTATTAGGAAGAATGTTGTTAAACTTGAGAGGATGCAGAAAAGATTTACAAGGATGTAGCCAGGAATGGAGGGTTTGAGTTATAGGGAGAGGCTGAATAGGCTGGGACTATTTTCCCTGGAGCATCGGAGGCTGAGGGGTAACTTCATAGAGGTTTGTAAAATCATGAGGGGCATGGATAGGGCGACTAGCCAATGTCTTTTTCCTAGGGTGGGTTTTCAAAACTAGAGGGTATGGGTTTAAGCTGAGAGGGGTAACTTTTTCACACAGAAGGTGTGTATGTAGAGCAAACTGCCAGAAGAAGAGGTAGAGGTGAGTACAATTGAAACATTTGAATAGGAAGGGTTTAGAGAGATATGGGCCAAATGCT